TTCATATACAATAGAGAACTTTTATGAATCTAACTTCTTACCTCTGACTGCATTTGGACATACTGAGTGCAGCGGAGTCAACAAGAGTCATCAAGAGACGAGGATTTTATTCAGATTCCATTGCCATATTATATTAATGAACAGAATGCATTTTTAAAAAATAGTATGAAGAGAACAAGCCATTTACTGTGCAGGTTGTGATCATATCATGTCCGTACTAATTGCATTTAGAGGCATTATAATCTGTGGTACTTATTTTGCAATGCCTTAAGGTGAAATTTGTTAAATAATTATGTTATCTTTGTTGTTAGATAACACAAGAGATGTTAGATAACATAAACAGTGTGTAAGAATGAAAGAACTGGCAATATTTGTAAAATACCTGAAACTGCAATGCTAAATGAGCTTAGAAAAACAAGCCCTTTTCAAAAATTGTTTAATAGAATCTTATTTTGGCTCATCATAATATGGTTTTTTGTTTTTGTTTTTTTTTTGTTTTTGTTTTTGTTTTTAAAGTTGAATAATTTTGATAGGTTAAAAAAAAAAATAATCAAGGAATTGGTGACAAAAAGAGAAATGTAGAATTGGTTGCATTTTCTCTCCTATACATCCAAAGGTAAAGCTATAATTAGCAGGTCATGCATCCAAATAGGAGTACCCTAATATTTCTAAGGAGCCAAGTATCCCAAATTTTTCAAAATGATTTCAGTGTGTTCATCACTTTTCATGTGCCATTTAGTTACCAAAATAATCTGTAGCTGCTACTTCTAGTGACCGAGATTTGAAATGACTGTTCAGGACAGATACTGGCTTTCTGCCCTTCTCCCTGCAAGATCCTATGACACAAATTTGCTGTGGTCCAAGTTTTTCAGGCCTTCTGTAATGTGGGACACTGCAAGATATGTGACTTCTGTTTTGTTGTATTTTTTTTTCCAAGGGCATGTCATATCCCTAGCATATCTCTGCACAAATTTGTGCAGAGCCAGATGGACATGTTTGCTCCAAGTCACTTAAAGCAGTGCACATTGAAACTAAGAGAGAGGGCAGGAAATCTGCATTCCTGGTTTCTTCAATAAGAAGGGAAATTTTGTTGCGAGCCTGGGTGCTACTCTACTAGTTCTTGGTATAACATGTGCTCTGTCCCCTGGCATCCTCTTGGGGGGAACACTCATCTCTCTTTGGCATGGCTTTGCACCAGGCTATTGTGCACACAGATCAAGTATGGCAGTTTTCCTTTTTTTAGCATTCCTGAGAAATTTAGCCCTGGTTATTCTTCCACAACAATTTCTTTGTCTAAATGTGCACTTTACTGAATGTTGCCCATCACCATGCTGCTGGCAACAAACCTAAAATCTCATATTGCATACCCAGAAAGCATTTCAATCGCAGGACTGACCACTACAATTAAGGAAGGGAGTGTATAATATTTCTAAGATCTTCAGCCCTTTTTTCAGAACCATCAGAAAAGATTGTTACTTTCATAATAGGTCAAATGGAACAAATGCAAACACATGTGACATTAAATGTTCAGTTTGTTTGAAATTCTGGAAAAAAAAAAAAAAAAAAAAGGAAAAAATATCTGCCCAATTCAGAAATTATAATTTGTAATAATTTTATTCAACAGATTTTGGCTTTTATTCTAATCAAGAGTCATCTGTGAACAGATTGTGTTCTTTGTCAAATGTGTGTGTTTGTTCAAAATTTACCAACTGGCTAGCTATTGATCTGATTCTTCAACCAAAATGTTTCTACATTTCCTTCCATTCCATATTCCTTCCTGCCCTAACCTTTCTGAGAACTGCAAACAAGAAACCCTTTGTGCTTAATCTCTTGTTGAGAACATCAGCACAGGGTTTTTCTACCTTTACGTTATGTCTCTAAGTTTAGGTCACTTCTAGCTATGATTTTGATAGCGTTTTTCTTAATTTCAGTTGATCTGGTGAAATTTGTATGAGTACTGTCTCTGCTCTTGAGAATGCTGATAGCCCCATACTTGCTTCACAGCAAAGGCACTAGATATTAATCGTTGCTTTACATTCAGCTCCGTCTAAGTCCCTGCCTGAAGATAATATTAGTTACATTTGAGGCACATTACAGTGAAAGGAAAGGCATCGCTTCATGAAATTTTTTCTGTCCTTCTGCATTTTCTAAGGCTATTATTTCTAGCAATGTTGGAAGCATTTTTCTATTGTGTACAGCCAGAGTGTGTTGTTGTTAAAAATAATTTTTATTTTTATGTAGTTTATCTTTCTTTTTCATCTTTGATAGGATGACCAACAAAAAATAAAATAAAAAAAAAAATAAAATAAAATGACCCAAAGCTTTGAGGAACTGTTAAAAGGAAATGGCTAAGGGAAGATTTGCATTGCATCCAATATAAAAATAAACGTGAAATGTAGGAGACCTGAATTCTTCAATGTCATTCAAAAAGTTAATGACCTAGTTCGAGTGACTTCAATTAATCCAGTACTCACATAGCTTACAGTTTTTCTTTTCTTAATGAAAACTAAGGTCTCCACCAAAAATTGAACCAAAAAAAAGGAAAGATAATAAAGTACTTTTCTGTTTTAAATGTTAATTTACCCTAGTGTTCAGAGTACTTTTGTAGATCAATGAACTTTTTTTCTTTCTTTCTTTCTTTCTTTCTTTTTTTTTTTTTTTTTTTTCCAGAGGGTGAGAGGAGAAAGAAAAGTACAAATTTCTCAGTCCAGAGTTCTATTTTTCTCTGTTACTTTTCAAAGACCTTTTAAGGAAAAATAAGGCTTCACAGAGAAGCCCTGCACCAAACAAAATATAGTTCTTGCATTTATTAAGCAGCTATTCTATGAAAACCAAATTGAATATTGATTGCCTGTGTTTTTTCTTTGGCTTAACATAATTACATTATCTCCCTTGTTTAAAAAGATCTGTTCGTACTGATTCTCATAAGTGAATTTTTACAAGCTCAAATACATTTGTATATCAATAACTTGTGATGGTGAAAATGAAATAAATTTGATTTTGACAGCTGGAAGCTAAGTTTAGGTAAAGCATGACTTCTCATGGAAAATTTACTGTAAAATCTCTTATTTGCACATAGGGAAGTTTATATTACTGATATGTGGACAACTCATTACCAGATTAGGCTTTGCATGTTACTTTTCACTTGAGTACAACTATTTCTGTAAGTGCAGAAAAGCAGTCATCTCTGCAGTGGGACGCTGTGTTTCAAGCCTCAAAGCAAACAAGATGCTCACATCTAATTGTTCAAAAGCAAATCCTCCCACCATCAAATGTTTATTCTCTTTGGAGTTATGCATATTATATTGAAATATGAGAAACCAAATCTATACTTTGCTGTGTTAACATAGACTTGAAGAAAATAGTCTCATTTCAAAACATTGGCAAGTTCTGCTACATTTAGGTTACTACTTCTGGCAGCCACCTGAACATTTGTCTCAGGAAAAGTATATGGATACTGTCATTATCTCCTGCAAAGGTCATTGATGTGTATGTTTCTATACATTTTAAAAATAATTGAGAAATTAGGGAGGCAACTAAAATAAACTCTTGGGTAAAAAATAGTTGAGTGCCATGACCTATCAGTCGGCGCTTCAGCTATTTGCTATTGACAGGCTTCATGACAAAGAACTGCAATGCTGAGCTCAGGATCTTCCCACATCTCTGTCCTATCAGGATGGAGACCATATTCATTCTCTGTCTATAGGAAGGCAGGAGTGGTAAATTCACAGTGTTCTACAGGACTAATCTGCAGATAAAAGCAAAGAAGCTGAGAAGTCCTTCCACATCAGTTTTTTCCCAAGGATGAATGTAAGGAGTGTCTTCCTTATCTAGCTTGAAAGACATACAATATCTTCATTAGGAGAAGAAGCTGTTTTTTTAACTTAAAAGTTTCTGTGAACTTGTAGATTTTCCTCATTTCTTTGTATTAGAATGATAGCTACCTTCTCCAACCTAGGTTTGAGAAGTGTCAGTTAACACCTTGTCTCTCACACATCCTACTTCCCTAGCTCAGACAAGGTGTTACTGTGTCTAAGTATCAGAGGCTGGATTGCAAATGCCTGTTAACACCAATGTGGGAGGCCCACAGATAGCAGCATTTTGCAACTTGGAGCATATTGAGAGAGAATGACTCAGGGGAAGGGAAACAAAACAGAGAGATTTCTTGTTCCCCCAGCCCTCAGGACCCGTGTGGTTCAGGCTTCTGTGACTCAGGGTTAGCACTGGCAGCATCCAGCAGCTTGTGACAGGAAATAGGGGACAGCCTTACCCCCACGGGTTCTGGCTTGAGACGCAGCCACAAATGGCACCCTCTGGCAGGGCCCGAGCATCAGCAGATCAGAACTAAAACCTCCTCAAGAGGAAAGCCTTCACTGCCACATTGTTTCTGTTCAGTGGACGGAGACTTGTACGTCTGGTCATGCAAGATCTTCTAAGCTGCAGTTACATAAAATGCCTTTTAGTGTTACAAACTTCCTTAGACTTTCTGTAGCAAACACCAATTGGCTTCTCTACTACTTTGGCTTTACTTTAGCTAACATAAATAACGTGAGAAGTGGTGCTGGTTTACATTGTTTGCTTATTTCCACTGGAAGGACATTGCTACACTGGTCCTTAAAAACTAAGAGATTAAAAAAATAAATAAATCTTCAAGTGTGACGAAAAATCAAACTTTTAAGCAAGTTGCATACTTCTTATGCTGAGCTTTTTAACCCTTTTTAGCATAAGTAACATTGTGGAATGAAAAATGATAATTATTAAAAAAAAGCAAATTAAGGCTGACAATTTCATTAAGCTGTGGTTTTCTCTAAAGCCATTTCATTTCACTTTCAATGATTTAAAGATTTCTGACAAATACATATATGTAAATTTAACCCCCTTCTTACATTTTGTTTATACTTCTAAAGCTTTTAAGAAAAGCCTTTTAATCTCTTACCACTTTTTCATATTTTCACATTTTTTTCATGTTTATAATAATATTTTTATTTTTCCTATTTTAGGTAATGAAAGCCTAGAAGAAAACTATGTTCAGGACAGTAAAATGGGATTCGTCATCAATGCTATATATGCTATGGCTCATGGACTCCAAAACATGCATCATTCCCTTTGCCCAGGACATGTTGGGCTGTGTGATGCTATGAAGCCAATTGATGGCAGCAAACTCTTGGAGTTTCTCCTCAAGTCCACATTCATTGGTGTTTCTGGAGAAGAAGTTTGGTTTGATGAAAAGGGAGATGCCCCAGGAAGGTAAAGTTTCATGTCGACATATTATACCAGATACTGGGATGTGGGTGTTGTTACTGGTTTGATTTTCTTTGGCTGCTTTGCTAAAGCATGCAGCAAATACACTCTGAAACAGAAACAGAGTTATCTGGGTGAGTCTTACTAGTAGAAGGGAATAACAATGATAACACAAGATAAATTGATAATTACAGCTTCTGTTGGGGTGTTACTGTAAAGCCTGTAACAATTCTAGTGTTTTGGGGGAGGACAGACTGCATCTCAGAGATTTTTGGTATCTGAGTTAGTAATGGGCTCAGCACTAGGGCTTTTTTATGGATAAGGCCTAATACAAGTGACTGGAGTTTAACAAAGAATTTGCTTGCTGAAATTTTAAAGTTAGGTCTATAGAACATATCCTTTTCCAACCGGAACTCAGCTGGTCTGTGTGCCCCAGGACACAACAGTGCATCCATGCCAGAAAGTCTTTAGTTTTGCTTGTTGAACTACTGTGTGCTCTCCTTAACTAGTTTTAAATAAATTCAGCTGTCCCAGAATTCACAGACAGGTCAGGCAGGATAATTAATGGTGTTTGCTAAAAGGTACTGTGTTCCTCTCATGTGGGGTCCAGTAGATTCCTGTTATGGTAGTTGCTACTGTCCATGCCCCTTTCTCCCCTTCTCCCCCTCTCCCCCAGAAGACACAGTGTGCACCCAGCAATGAGAGAGACAGCAGTGGCATCACCTTGATTTCTCTCATGGAAGACAGCTGACAAATCTTTCCCTCTTCACTTAGGTTTATGGGCTCTTTCCAAATATTTTAAGTGACACATCTCCCAGATTAATGTATTTATTTCTTTAAAATGAATATAATTCAGCTGCTGGTGCATATGATTCATTATTAACAGAATTCTGCTCGGAGGTTTCTTCATTTAAGTTAGTTTTCCTACTGAGTTATTAAAGTGTTATAAAAGACTCTCTCACTCCATCTTTGGGCTTATTGCATAAATGCATCTGAGTGCCAACACTGCACAAAAGCAGTGTTCTGGAATAAACAGTTTGCAGCCTTCAAGGAATATTTGCAAGACACGGTGGCCTTAAAGCAACCCTTGTATCTATTCCTACCTTTTGTTATCAGAACTGATGAACTTTTTTACTGTTCTTTCCATTGCTTTCCGCATTCACATAATACATGCATTTAAACTGCTTAATACATTTAGAATAAGAAAAAGCTGATCAATTTGGTCTTGTCTCATTGAATACTGCATACTGTAGATTTTTTCAGTTGAAGTGTAGATGAGCTACGTCAGATTTTGAAATTAATGGGTAAGCAATTCCTTGTATTATTACACATACTCATACATTCAATGCAAATGTTTAAATCTTATCTTAGCACATACAGTTTAGATAGCATTGAAAAAGTACTGCTTAATATAACTCTAAATTTATTATGCACTATTTATGTCCATAAAAGCATTTGCATACCTTGTTTTGTCTACTTTTTAGATATTTAGATTGATGTTAAATGTAATTTTCCAATTTTAGCTCAAATCTTGTTTATTATCTTGTCACCTGAGGGCATTTCCACAACTCTCATCAGTACAAATCCCAGAATCATAACAAATGGTTCTTGAATTCAAAATATAGAAGAGTTTGTATTGGGGTATTTTTTTAGTAGGTCAGGATGATAGAATTTATTCCTTGATTTATGGCATGGTTCTTTTTTTTTTCTTTTTTTTTCCCTCCCTTCCCTCACCTATTTAGAATGTGATTAGTTATTTTAGGTAATTTTTGCTCATCATTTATATTTTCACAGTTTGGTGAAGGAAGCTCAATCAATCTTCTTGTTGTTCATCCTGTAATTCTTGTATCATTCTGTGGTATTTAAGACATGGGTGATATAATGTTAATGAATAATAATATATATATGCAATGTGATCTGAAAAACAGGTTGGATCTTTGTTCTCCAGCAGTAGTTTATGCCTATATGTATGTAACTCAAGATTCATATTTGTGTTGCCACAGCCCTACGAAGAAAAGGTCTTTCTAGATAAGTGAATGTGCCATACATTTTGAATGTAACTAAAGATCATTTTATACCTCAGCAAAACATAAAGCCACACATTGCATACAGCATCTAAATAAGTCAGAGATTGACCAAACTGAAATTGCTTGGTTTGTCAGCTTTTCTATGCCAGTGCAAGAAGGTATCATAAATATGCAAAAAGTTTTTTGAGGTTATGTTACTGTATCATATAAACAAATCAACTCCACAAGATGTAAAAAGGCAATGTTCCCTCATAGAAGCCAGTAATTGTTAGCAAGATCTGTGAGTTTCTTTGAGCAACAGTCTCTCATAATCCCCCTGGTTACACTGATCACAGTTAGAAAAGGTAGAGATGCCCACAGTTATGTTTTCCTGGCATTCATACAGTTCTCTGTTTTGAATTCCTTATAGCTCTGGCAAAGCTTAACCATTTGTTTAGATAAAACTCTTTTTTTTTTCTATCTCAGGCTCAATTTATGCTTTCAAGCTTTTATCAAAATGAGATTTGAAATCATGAGGCGATTTTGAAAGGTTTATTTCTTTGTGTGGAATCTTTTCTTTGGAGAGCATTTATGCAGAACTGTGAAGCAGAGCTGTATCAGAGGGGTAAAAATGCACTCACTTAACTGATTTTACTGCCTTTAGGAAAAATGACCTGAATATAGCTCTGGAAAATAGACAACAGTATGTGCTCCCTCTACTGCTATTAAGAATACGCTTATAACATTGCTGAACTTTTGACATTCACTGAGTATTCCCGTTTACTTTCTCAAAACTAATCATGTCACCCAAATTCTCAGAATGGCAGCAGAAGGAAAGAGGAATGCAGGAGTCCACGCCACATCTGTTTTTAGAACTTTGCAAGGGACAGAGGACAGATCCATGCATCTCATTGCAGAACATATTTGATGTCTTGTCTGTTCTAGTATGTCTACTAGACATAGCAACCTTATGACTACTAGCTCCGAAGTTTTGAGTAAATTATCAGTGCATAATATAAGCATTTAAAATATATGCAGTATATAAAGGAACGTGGGGCACATACCATTTTTTTTTTTTTTTTTTTTTTTTTTTTGCACATACTTTGGCTCCATGGGTGGCTGTTTAGGCCAGTTACATACTAGCATTGTTCAGCTTTGCTGTTTGCCATTCCTCCCTCAAGGATACCAAACTTACTGTCAACGCAGGTGTTATGACTGTTGAGCAAGTAACTTCAGCTATCTCAGGCTAACCAGAGATTTTTCAGAGTATGAATGCGCCCGTGACCAGCTCACAGTCTTGTTCACCTCAAAAATAACTTGTTTGCATGATCCAAACTCATTGGTCATGGCATTTCCCAATGGATATGAGAGGTTGCTCTTACATTTAAAAAAAATGTTCATTTTCTTATGTGTAGAAAGCTTTTATACCTTCTGTAAATGCTGCCATACATGTATGACATCCAGCTGCCTCCATGATCCTCACTTTCTTAGAGCTTCACAACTCTTGTCAAACTCAGTTATTTCAAGATAATCATTTTTAGCTTGGACATAGGTCAAAACTCTTGAAGTTGTGTATGTCTACAAGGAAGATGGTGATAGAAGGAGGTATTGAAACACTGAATTTCTCCTTACTCAGAGCAGGATTTTTTCATTAAAGAAAAGAAAGAAAGGGTAAAGAACTTGTGCATGTCTCCAAAGCAAATGTATTTGTTAAATCACATTCTTCCACTTAAAATTCAAGGTACGTACCAAAGCTTCAAGCACTGTACTACAACTTGTTAAATGCAAGACTGCTAAGATCTTGTAGTCTTCATACTTTATTCTTTGGCATATAACTGATAGAAAAGAGAGTAGTGTTACCAGAAAATATAAGATATATAGGCTTTCAACCTAAAATAAAATCATATCCTTGAATTTTCCAGCTCTTGACTGATATTACTGTAATGCTACTCTGTGCCTCATAATATATTTTGGTAGAAAAGAAAACAATCTATGTAGGCTTGAAAATTCCATTAAGGGAATGTGAAGTTTTAGTAATCTTTTATTTTCCTTCCTGTATTCATTTTCCAGCGCATAGTAAGTTGTTTTGTATTGATCTAATTCAAGGTCACACTAGAAACCAAGTAGGTTGTGCTTGCTAGAAAGAGGCATGTACATTCCTGCTCAATTATTCCTGTTTACTGAATCTACATTATAAAGCACCCTGCTGTTACTGCTTCTTGCTATGCTGAAAAAAGCACACCTTTTTATGTTATTCCTTTGTAAGAGATGGGAAATAAGAATTGTTCTCTAGCGACTTTGAAATTTACTCCTCTTCTTAGCAACTCCTCAGTTAAGAGCCAGTTGGCAATCACACAGCTGCAGAGCTGGGTTTTGCACCTGTTTGGAGCTCTATTGAGATCAGTGGTGAAAGTTCCTTTTCCTGTGCGCCCAGTGAATCTGTGCAGTGGTACCAATGTTGTCTAAGCATGCACATTTGCAAGACTGAGATCTAAATACAGTTTTAAGTAGACATTTTTAAAAACTATCTCTCTCTAGAGAGATCTCATAGATTCAGTTAACAAAACTGGGCATCCAGAGAGTAATTCTAGCACCTTTCCTCTGAGAACTACTGAGTTGTAATTTTTGCATATTTGAACCTCAACAGGGAAAAGAGAAATCATTGGATATTTCTCCCTGTTTGCCCTGAACCAAACATTCCAGTTTTATTTATAGCTCATACTTTGTTTACCTTTTATTCTTAATGTGAATACAGATAGGCAACACTCACTATAAACTAAAGCATCTTCTGTCCTGAGACAATCCAGTAAGGAAAAACAAGGCAGATCTGTAAAACAGAAAATGCTTTGTGATTTTCAGCTCTAGAGCTGAATTCTGGTTTGCAGTCCTCTTTTACCTCCCCTGTTCATACTTCCCACATAACTCTCCTCTTAAGAGGCCAGATGATTTGTTCATCCTCTTTTGTGGTTCTTCATCCCTGTGCTCTCTTCACTACTCATTCTCACATTCTTGCTTATTTCCTACTATGAAATTACCACAAATAATCACTGCTTTGCACAAACCACATTCTGTTAGTAAAAGAAGGAACTGAACACTTGACAGTAAAGGGTGTGCATACACATTAGGCCTTACAAATGGAGGGCAATGATGGAGGTAGGGAAGCAGAATGCTTTCTATAGCAGTGTTTTACTGCTATATGTTAATGATTCTGAAAAGTGGCTGAATAATGCACCATCCAAACATTGCTTACATGTGAATTTTTAGCAGAGTTTGCTGTCTTTGTTGTACAGTTCTTCCTGGACACGCAGTTTTTTTTACCCACAGTTTTCTGTAAACAGGACAGGAACTCAATAATAATTTAGCAATAAGAAATGCTATTTATTGTGATTCTATTGCAAATCCTGAAGTGTTTGTTGTTTCTGAGAAATTCTAGTCCATAGTAAAATTTTATTCTTTGTATTGCAGGACAGTGACTCTCTTTATATTTCTTCCTTTGAAGGTATGATATTATGAACCTGCAGTACATAGAGCCCAATCGCTATGACTATGTCCTCATTGGAACTTGGCATGAGGGTGTCCTCAACATTGATGACTACAGGATTCAGATGAACAAGAGTGGAATGGTCCAATCAGTGTGCAGCGAGCCTTGCTTGAAGGGGCAGATAAAGGTGTGCATTAGACACTTTCTGCCATAAAAATATGAATTACCTAGCAATGCTCTTTCACTAAACTTAAGCAATTATCTTTCAAGACAAAGGACGTGTTACTTAGAACTTTCTTTTCTATAAGAAAGCCAAAAGGACAGAGGAACTCTTAGATAAACATTTTGTTCTTGGTGTCCCATACAAAGGCCCATGCTTTCTAAAACTGCCTTTTGTAATGACTGTATGGGAACTGCTGAATCATGGCCTGAACCTCTGTTTGATCACCTGAGGCGAGCACTGAGTCAGCCACAGGAGCACAGGTGAAGGTAATTCACCTGCGCTGGCAGAAGGGATGGAGCCTGGCTCCACCTCTCCTAGACCCATTTAAGAGCTGACCACCGGGGGAAAGGGTCTCTTCTGGAGATCCCTCCTCTGGAGTTTTGTAGTGAGCCCAGAACACAGGTAAGAATTCTATCTACTCTCTTTTTGTTATTATAATCGGGTTTGCCAAACTCTCTTGTTTATTTTGTAATTGTAACATCTTTATGTTCAGTGGCTATACAACTGATGCAGACTCTTCCAGGAATACAAGACTGAATTAAATTTTACCTTATATGAGAAAGAATGAAATCTTCGTTTAGTCATTGTCTACAATGGTCAGTGGCTAGGATTCACTTGGGGACAAATCCTTAAAATAGCGTAACCCATGAGAATCCACTATTTTGTTTCAACAATAACATCTACAAGAAAAAGGAGAAAACAGAACCCTGTTTATATCTCATGTTCACAACAGAAGGTATGGAAACAAAAATGAAATCACAAACAGTAGCATTTGAATCATACTGCAAATATTTTGCCACCTGCCATGTGTGGATGACATAAAGACATGTTCTACCACTATCAAAATATTATGGATGTTGTAAGCTTAAAACAGCAAGAAGCCTGTTAAGGAATGTCACCTTAGAAATGCCTTTTTCTTTTTAATTTCATACAATAGGAACACTTGCAGCTTTTAAATTGTGTATTGTTGCTATTAGCAATTGATGATTAATTATTTAGCAAAGGCTTAGTGAAATTCCCTATCAAACTTGGAGGGGAAGCAGTATTGTATTTACTGCCCTCCAAAACATCTTTTCTCTGTTTCTGAGATTGTGCAGTTTGTGTATGTGGATATATGTAAACAACATGTATACAAAATGCCAGCTTCAGCTCCTGTTGAAATCTATTGGAAAGTTTCCATAGAATGCAGAACACCCACAAAGCCATCATTTCATCATTTAATAAAACAAAATCTTTTATTTCACTTAATAATAAGAATAATAAGTTATATTTATATAACTTTATTTATATAATAAATAATAAGTTATTATTAAGAATAATAACTTATTCTGCATATCGATGAATACAAAGATCCTGGAGCAAAGGCTGAATTCCTCCTTTCTGACACAGGCAGAGTCTTTGGTGCAGCTCAAGATATCCTTAACCTTTCTTGCATCCCCCATGTAGTGAACCTAGCAGCCGAGATGAGGAAGCAATTTTCAACATCGGATTACTGCACTTAGCAGCATCCACATGAGAGAAAGATACAGCTTTCAGGGACACTTGTCTCCAAAAGAGCTGTTCTGAACTGTGTTCTTGCTCACCGCATACTGGTTTTATTTTCTACTAGAACAAAATACATCGTTTTTTTAGTTTGATTTTTAATTTGCTTATATTTTAATTTCTATCTACACTGATGTGGTGAGCCCCAAAGAGACTTCATTGTAAATAAGAATTTGAATGCCTGTATTTCTATCTGTGCATATATATAATGATAGTATATATAAATGCATGAATCACTTTGTTCTAACCTTTGACTTAGTTTACTGCTTTTTACTATGCAGAAGATGTTAAGTGTTCACTGAATGACTTGTCCTGACCAGAACCATCTCCCAGATTAAACCTCCTCTCAAGTTTGATTGGAAATGTAACACTGTGCCACTGTAAAGTACAAAACCATTTTTTGTTTTGGTAACCTCAGGGAAGAAACAACACCACAATACCAAATACCAGCATAGAACAAAATGAAGTTATGTATATATATATCATCCTTGATCACAATTTCTAGCACAGAGAGGCAGATACAGAATAAGGACAAATATTTTGTCATTGTTTGCAATGTCCCACACACAGAAATCCTATCATATTTTAAACAATGCAGGCAGTATGTATTTACTGTGGGAAGCTCTGTGCTGTCTTATACAGGATCGTTGTTGAGGGTATGTTTTGCATTTCAGGTGATCAGGAAAGGAGAAGTGAGCTGCTGCTGGATTTGCACTGCTTGCAAAGAGAATGAATTTGTTCAGGATGAATTCACTTGTAAAGCCTGTGAACTTGGCTGGTGGCCAAACGCTGAACTGACAGGTAGGGAGGTGTCCCTCAAAATGTGTTCCTTCTTGACAGGGTACAATAAGAATGGAGTGTGTTGAAGAATAAGGTGTTAATATGCAAAGATGTTAAAGGAAAAAACTTCCCAAGGCACATCAAGTTGAACTGTGCTGTATCTTTTGGCTCAATTCAACAGCAGTGACAAAGATGAAATTTGTACCTAGATAAAATGACGTACTGTGTCTGTTCCTCCCTTTCAGTTAACATAAGTATTAATAAAGCTGCTAAAAATACTAATGAACTTAGCAGAATTTGCTGCAATTTTAGCAGTGATAATCACAAGGGCTCAGAGCATCATTGTCAGATTGACTTGATACGCTTTCTGCTCATTCTGTCATGCAAATAGTAATACTTCATTTGGAATTTCTGAGCTTTCAAAAACTGTCAGAATTTCCTTTGGTATGAGCATCATTCTCTCTGAACCCACCACCACAGGGAAAATCAACGTAATCCTAAGAAAGACAGACGAACGAAAGGGAAAACTTGGAAAGGAGGAGCAAGAACTTGTCTTCCCTGGGTATATGGTTTAAATGAGTCGTATGCTATGGCATCTTTCTCTTATTTTGTACCCACTTGGGGGAAACTGCCCATACCTGCTCTGAGCTTTGCACTAGCCATGACCTCAAGGAAACAGATGTAATGCACTGAGAAGTACCACCTTGATCTGGGAAGCTGCTTTGTAAAGACCTTATCCCATGTTAAATCTGCAGATTTTCACTGCCAGAGCATCATAGTCAAAGAAACTATCTGACTGTGTAGCTGAAGAGCAGCTGTGCAACTTACTTATTGTCCTTTAATATAACTGGGTGGCAACCAAATGTTGCTTCAGCACTACAGATAAGTGATATTAAGCAAATTCACTGAAACCAAATGAACTTCCAGGAGATTTCCTCTGGAAGGGGAAACTGACCATTTCTCCAGCTAAAAATGTATTATAAATCACAAAACAAACAAAAAACTGGAAAAATTGAGATGTTCCCTATTGCATTAGTTTTCCTTTTTGTTTTCTTTTGTTTGTGTGTTTGTCGGTTTGGGTATTGGTTTGTTTAAATGGAAAATAAGCTGTGGTTTTGTACCACGTGTGTGTGTCTATATCCTGTAACTCTGACTCAAATAGTCCCTTTCCCTCTCTTACTCTGATGTGCAATTGAACTTCTTTCAGCAAGTCTTGTCAGGATACAGAAATCTCAGTGATCATTCTGTTCTTTCAGGTTTCACATAAATGGGCAGTAGAAAGAGAAGTCTTTAAAAAATACCTTCTGTAAGGGTCACAGTTGTGGATAAAAATATTATTTTTCTAAACCCTAGAAAATCTAGAGCATATAGAGTTATATATCTTGAATGCTAGAAGATAAAATTCAATGCTACTATCTATGACACCCATGTCTGCTAGTGCTAAATCAGAACCATGCTCTTTTAGTTTTGGAGGTTTGCAGAATTGTTTGTATCTACTATTCAGGGAAGAAAACTAGAGCTTCTTTTAAATCAATAAGGCAGAACAAGAACACGGTGGGAGATCAATGTGTACTTGAATGAATATGGTTGCCCAAAGTAGCTCAAATAGGGGCATGTCAAAATGACAGGCACTGCTGAAAGGAATTGAAGAAAACATGAGTACTGGAAAAAATCTCAGGGGCATGTTGCAATCTATTAACTTTTAATGAAATCAGTAAGTGACCTGCTGAGTCGTGTTTCTTCTCAGCAAAGAGACTGGGCTGCTGCTGTCCTAAAATTGCAGTAGCGTCAGTCAAGTAATGGCACAGCCATCAACTGATTTCCTAGAGAACCTCAAAATGGCAGCATTGGCAGATGTACAGTTTCTGTACAGCTGCTTCACTCTGGGGAAAGATTTTTAACCCCTTCGTATCTACTTGAATTGCAGTAGGAATTACAAAGTTACAGAGAGAAACTACTGGTATCCTGCCCTTTAGCAAAGGGAAATTCAGCTAAACAAACTCTGGCTTTTGGGCTTTGCTGGCATCTCCACTGGAACCTTTTAATTTGAAATTCCTCTTTGTTTCTAGCATTTTTTTTCCCCCCATCAAATATGTTTTTGGTTTTTTTTTTTTTTTTTTTAATTTTTTTGTTGTATTCACACCCTTCCATTCTAGACACAGACATTAACATCTTGCATTCCAGGTAGTACTTCCCTTTGCCTTAAATCATAAATGCTAAACATGTATGCAGTTTTATTCACAATTTTCCATTACAGATAGACTTTGAAATTATTAGACCTTGTAGGAAACGTGAATTGCATACTAACCTGTTTCCCAAGACGTGCTTTTCAAGGTTCTCATTTTTTCCATTTGAAACCAAACTATGCAGCCCAGCGTTCCTTTCCTGATATTAAATTTTATTTTTAAATATAAAATGTTTTGCTTACTTCCCCTAAAAAAGTGGTCATTGGAGTTAGCAGACATAAAGAACTTCTCACCATAAATAACAAACTGTATATTTAACCTAACCTGACAAATGGTCAGTAACAATAGTACCTAAAGGTCTTGTGCCAAGAAGTGCCATCCTTTACAGGTCATAAGCTGTATAAGAACAGTGAATATCAAGCTAGTATACCCAGTTTTCTTCACTTTAAACAAGCAAGGAGAGGAAGTTTTATAGAACTATCATAAAATGGATTACCTGGGATGCTTTAATGACCTCAGAAAATATATTGGAGAGTTGTATTGGTTTTGCAGTATGAATATAATTTTAAAAAGTTTTTTAAAAAAAAGTGAAAATCGATTAGCTTTCTACTCAGGGAGATGATTCATGGTTAAACTGTAGGGGACAATAATAGATGAAAAATACCAAACAGCTTTTTACTAGAAACTTTTAACAGTGAAGTTTTTGCTACTGATTATCTACTTTTAAAAATTTTCATTTTTTTTAATGCATATAATTTGTAAGCATACTGTTTCCTGAGTATCTTCCCCCATCTCAACACACTTCCTGAGTCCACTGTCCCCCAGATGGCAAATGATCCACCTTCACAGATGCTGACAACCAACAACTGTTTGCTGATATAAGCAGTAAAGGCACCTTTTTTTTTTTTTTTTTTTTTTTTGCAATGTTTGTAGCATATGTGGCTCTTGGGGCTTGCTGGTGCACAGGAATTGCACTGATGCAACAAAACAGGTTTCTAAAACCCTGCAGTGGATAAGTTTAAAGCGATCGATATACTTACCCACGTGCTGAATCAGGGCTATGGCTCTGAACACGTTTAAGACTGAATGAGTATGGCTTACATTGCTAAGCACACACTGAAATGTAAGCCTTCCAGCAACCACATGCTTCTTGTTAAAGGAAAGAGCTTTGCATGTGTTAATCAAAGAACAATTAATTCACTTTTGTATCAAACTAAGAGCCAATTCCCACTCTGGGCTGCTGCAGCCAGTGGCCAGAGCTCCTAATTCTAGTAAAAATTTTTGTGATTGCATTTCGCCACAAAAATACTGGTTGGAAGAACAGTTTCTCCCCACCTGCCTGAATCCTGAGCAAAATTCCTTTTCCTTATAAAATACATCTTCCAGATGCATGCACCACCATTCTTACTGTTCTTGATGTTACAGGTGATGCATAGCATTACCTGTATTTAAGTCAGACCAGTACTTTTAGATACAAAGAGTTCAGAATGGTAAGGCATTCTTTCCTTTCAAATGACATTGGAAGACATTAAAAGCCTGTGCAGAAATTTTCCATGTCAGGACTTTGCCTCAGGCTGACTCTTATACTCTTTTTCTAAAATCTTTTTTAAAATTTCAACTAAACCCTTTTCTTTCTGACAGTGATATCACAACAAAATTTTGTTCTCTCAACCCTGATCTATACCTCAACTTGCTTATGGACAACTTTACATTTTCTTGTATTATTGATAATGTTTTTCTTTGTCATCATGTGGAAGATGTACCTTGATTGAGAAGAATTCTGGGTGTCAGAAGCTTTCATACAGGAAGACTTCTGCAGATATGCACCACACTGAGGAGGGAAGGGCTGAGTGTGGCTTTTCTATTAACAAAATCAAGACCTTATTAAGATTCAGCAATGAGACAGAGTTTTTTTTTTTTTAAAAAAAAAAAAAAAAAACCAATTTTTTTTTTTTAAAACAAATTTTTTTTTTTTTTTTTTAACTAAAATCGCCTTCAGTAAAATGTGCTGTGTCTTTATTCTTGTTTTGATAAAGATTAAATTAACTTGGGGAGGTTAAATGCTGCCATTCTGATTTGCAATAATCCTGTCCCTGCTGAAATAAAGTTTTGGTGCTCTTTGTCTGTGATCTGTTCCCAGCCCTGCCTTTGGTATGCTGGACTTGTCAGCATGTCTTCCAATGAATAGTAGAAGAAATATTTCATTTCTCCTTGTAGCATCATAAGCCAATGTTTGACTCACTCAGAACTAATGGTATTTTTTGAAAATATTTTGTCTAATCTTTCTTATGTTGTGGTTCACTCATCTGTAAAGTGGTCTTAATAGTCCATGATATATAGGCAAAAGCCAATGTTTGGATTATAGTAGAAGCCGAAAATAAAAGTTCTCTCTTCAAGCAGGTAACTTTCTAACACTCTGTTTCTTTTCTGTACACTGCAGGCTGTGAACCCATTCCTGTAAAATATCTTCAGTGGAGCAATATAGAATCTATTGTGGCTGTGGTCTTTTCCTGCCTGGGGATCCTGGTCACCATGTTTGTCACCCTTATCTTTGTGCTCTACAGGGACACGCCTGTTGTCAAATCCTCCAGCCGGGAGCTCTGCTACATAATCCTTGCTGGCATCTTTCTGGGTTATGTCTGCCCTTTCACCCTTATCGCAAAACCCACCACAATATCCTGCTACCTCCAGCGCCTTCTGGTGGGTCTCTCTTCTGCCATGTGCTATTCTGCCCTTGTGACCAAAACCAACCGCATTGCACGCATTCTGGCAGGCAGCAAAAAGAAGATTTGTACCCGCAAGCCACGCTTCATGAGTGCGTGGGCCCAAGTGGTCATTGCCTCCATTTTGATCAGTGTGCAGTTGACACTGGTGGTCACGCTGATCATCCTGGAGCCCCCGATGCCCATCCTCTCCTATCCCAGCATTAAGGAAGTTTACCTTATCTGCAACACCAGCAATTTGGGTGTCGTGGCTCCTGTGGGCTACAATGGACTCCTCATCATGAGCTGCACTTACTATGCCTTTAAGACTCGCAATGTGCCTGCCAATTTCAACGAGGCCAAGTACATTGCATTCACCATGTATACCACTTGTATCATCTGGCTGGCCTTTGTACCTATCTATTTTGGGAGCAACTACAAGATCATCACCACTTGCTTTGCAGTGAGCCTGAGTGTGACAGTGGCCCTGGGGTGCATGTTCACTCCTAAGATGTACATCATCATAGCCAAGCCCGAGAGGAACGTCCGCAGTGCCTTCACCACCTCAGATGTGGTGCGTATGCATGTCGGGGATGGCAAGGCACCTTGCAAGTCCAACACTTTCCTCAACATATTCCGGAGAAAGAAACCAGGGGCTGGAAATCCAAAGTAAGTGCTTGACTGAAGATACACGTATCTCTGTATTGTATGTCCCTCTCTTTGCCATCCTATCTTGGTTGACCATGTTTTTCTGAGTAGTAAGGTATGTAATATTTCTTCATCTCACATGTAGCAGAAAAGGTAGAAATTATCCTTTATATCTAAATTTTGGTTGGATGTTGATATGTTGCTTCTCATTTTCTTCACTGTTCTAAAGGCAGCCCTGTATACAATTCCCTCTACCTCTAGGACAGGGCAGGCAGTGGAAAAGTAACTAATTTCCAAATTCATCTTCTTCTATCTCTCCCTATATGCAAGGGGGACTCAAACCCCTACAGTTGCTCTGCCCTGTTCTCCAAACCAAGGTGCAAGTGCTGCCTTTTGGGAAAGGAAACCAGAAATCTGTGTCTGAGTGGCTGTAAATCATGTGCGGTTGTCTAAGGCCACTAAGGTTTGTGTGTGAAAGCTGAAGTTTGAACATTGGTTTGTAAGGTAGTGTTTTGTTATAGTCCACTTGATTGTCATCCAAAAGCACCCTTCATAATATTCCTATGCTTTATTTAATACTCAGAATTATGAGCAAGTCTCTTAATCATCAGCAGTGTAAACTTGTCCGTGTTCCCAAACCCAGTGTTTGTGTGAAAAGTTGCACTAATGGTGAATATGGGTTTGCATTCACATCTGTTAAGCTTGTTATTCCTCTTGCTAAAAATTGAAAACAGCCAAACTGCAGCAGAGGGAAAGAGACAACTGTCGGTTCCAGCATCTTCCTGTGAGCAGCAGTCTCAATGTTTATGCTTTTTATGATCTTATCCCACTTTCATCTTTAAAGAAGCACAACAGGGCTAAACATGAACTTAGGTTTTTTCCCCTCATAATTTAAAATAAATATCAAAATAATAAAGAACCAGTGAAGTCCACATAAATTCAGTTAATTTCCATCTCTTTGGGATTTGTAGGTTTCTCTGAGTGGCATGCACTGGTTTTGATTTTTTTTTTTTTTGCATTAGAATGATTTTTGCATGTTTGTATGGGAACTGCTGAATTATGGCCTGAACCTCTGATTGACCACTTGAGGCAAGCAATGAGTCAGCCCTGGGAGCACAGGTGAAGACAATTCTCCTGCGCTAGCGGAAGGGGTGAAGCCTGGCTCTACCTCTCCTAGACCCCATTTAAGAGCTGACTACCAGTGGGGAAGGATCTCTACTGGAGATTGCTTCTCTTACAGACTTCTCAGTAAGCTCAGTATAAGGGTAAGCTTTCCATCCATTCTTCTTTAGTGTGATAACTTGTTTAGCCTAACTTTCCTGTATATATCTTTATTATAACATCTGTGTATTCATTGATTACATGCATGTTCTGGAGATAGAAGGGCAAGGCTGAAGGCAATACCATACAAAACAGACAAGATAATGGCAAAGAAACGAATGGGTACATATGTAACCCAAATACACAACTCACTGTTCCATGGAATTTCAACTCCCAAGCCATTCAGAGAAAGTTGGGAGTAGAAGGCAGTTGTGAGGGATCCCCTTGCAAGTAAACAGACTCCCTTTTGTGGTAGACTGCCAAAAACCTCTAGTTCATTAGCTTGATTTCCTTGTTCAGATGAAGCTTCATCTACTTTCCTCTCATTCTGTGAACACTGGATTGGGTCTTAACACGTCTGTAAGAAACTAGGGTGGTGTGTCTGCAGTGTAATCTCTGGCTGCTGCTATCTTTAAGGCATGTCTGGCAAAAAAAACTATTGAGTATTTTACATTATGAGTGACTTAGTAACTAATTCTTCATTATTCTTTATTGTGCTCACTGTTCTTTTACCTTCCTGAAAGAAAACTATGCTTTAAAAAATACGGAGATACTGTACTTTAGAATCCAGTTTGCAACATGAGAAAACATTTCTCCCTCTTTAAAAAAGCCTGCTTCCATTCATCATTGTCACTTTTATAAAACAACAGAGCTTACCTGAGCTTTTAGGAAAAATATTTGTTGCATAATTTTAGCAAGCATTTCTTGACCTCTGTTGAGCCTGTGTGAATGATATATAGCCAGGAAGCCCACAGATTTTTAAAGACTAAAAACCCAACAATTATTTACTTTGAGTTTTATTTTTGTCTGATGTCTAGGGTCCAGCTCCTGTGCCAAGCAAAAAAATACTGAGAAAACCAACTTGCTAGAACTTTGTAAGCATCTAGCTAACTCAAATATATGTTTGCATCCTTCCTGAAATTGGACTTGAAACAATTGAAAATACCAACAGGAGCAGTCTCCAGGAAAATTTTTCATGTCTTTCGTTATCTGACAAAACTTAAGATTAATTTTCCAGTTTTCTCTCAATAATTTAAATTAATTGTTTGTTGTTAGGCTTCTTTATTTTGTAATTGGCCTTCCCTATGGCCATATATCCCTCTCTGTAAGTGGCAGGCAGTGTTTCACTCAGATCATCTGTTTTCCAGCTGTTTTCTTTTCTGTTTTCTTGTCATCTGTTCTTTTGCATACCAGCTAGTTTTTCTACTTTTTAATTTTCATCCCTCTTTTCCTGTTTGGACTGATCTTGTCTGCTTATCCAGTGAATTCCAATTCCTCCCTCTAAATAGGAAAGCACATTCATTTACACTAAAATAGTGTGCAGGTATGGATTTAAATTGAGTTAACTTTAAAATTGGAAACCAGTTTCAGTATGCAGGGGCAAGTCAAACTGATATAAACCTTGTACTTGCCTGCAACGTTGTGCAATTAGCTTAGCTAGTGTAACTTTGGATGCGCAGGAAACCAACCAGCTTTTCCTTTTTCCTTCCTGAAATATAACAGAAGAATTAACCAAGGAAGTCTATTAGCATGGGATCTATTAATCAATAGAAAACTCCCCATTGCACCTAATGCTGATACAGAGGTCAGAATATCCTTCTGAAAATTGGCTATCTCAGCTGAACTACAAACACAGTTCCAATGAAGATGTTCAGTAACATTGATCTTCAACTTAAATAAGAAAGTGCTTTGCTTTTCCTTATCTGAGGCACTCTAAAATGCTGTCTGCTATCATGAGGGTATGAACTCTCTTGTTTGGTTGAGTTGAATTGTGAGCAGTTACAGACAGCACTGTTTTAAACAGAGGTGGCTAGGAATTTTCCATGGGGTACGTTTTCCATCAGAAAATTCTGGCCCCTTAAAACATTTCAGAGAATTGAATTTTGACAGGAAGGATGTTCTTCATGCCAGAAATATATATATATTTTTTTTCTTTTTCTTCCCCCCTACATGAGGATGAAAAAATTAGAAACTGTGAGGGAATTGTACCACAACAGTCACTAAGACTGTTAAGGTACTCAGTTAAATTAAGAGCACCTCCTTCAGAACTCAAGTGAATGTCCTACAGCTGCACCATGCACTGTTCCAGGGCAAATCTCCCCCTTTCTCTCTATTCTTGACCATCAGTGTGTCCTGGAGAACAGAAAAAAGTTCTGATGCAAACCCTAGAGATATGCTCTGTATTATTCTGTGAGACAGTTTGAATCTGGGTCTGAGAGATCCCTAGTGAATGTTGTCAGTACTAAGATACTGTCAGTCTCTTCCGCTTGTCAAATGAATATTTAAATATTTATTAAAAATGGAACAGCTCCATCAGAAGAGATAGAGTGATCTCTGCTGCTTTTATTGGAGCTGTGTGGGGGCATTTATTGCTGGTGTGTGCTGCTTGGTGACATTACAACATCTACTGTCTGTTACAGAATGATGACATAGCATTTCTTTAGGAGAGTCTTTTTCATCTCCTTTCCAGCTGTGAGACTGTAACTTTCTGATGTAGATCTTGCTGTGATCATTGATCACTGACTATGAATACTACTTTGGTCTGTGAAGGTCAATCATGCTGAAGAGCAGCACTCCTATGAAGTGCCTGTAAGAAACAAGGGCAGATATGTAGGAGGGAGGACTAAGGAGGGATGCAGCTCAGTTGGAAGTGAATTCCCTACATCTTCACCATAATTGCCTGCAGCACTCTTCTACAACATAAATCACCAAGGAAGTGGTGCTTTTTTCTGGTCTACATGTGGAAAAAAATAACCAGTGATACTGAAGATGATAATCTTCAGAATTCTCCACTCTTCTCTAGCTATTGCTTCAAGTGGACCCTGTTTGGCGCACGGGAGGCTGGAGGGTGTCTTGCATTGCTTTTCTATACTCCACACATGCACTTCAGATAGAGCTTGAGATGCGCAGCAAGACTTACCTCTTTCCCATACTTCCTGCTAAGGGGGAATTGGAATAAGTTCTCTGTGGGTAATTAGCTAGAGGTTTGGTGGTAATGCAAAGCAATTGCTTTGGTTTTTGTGTATAAGTTGTTTAAAATTTTTTGATTAGGAGTCTAGGTCTGGACAGAATTTTAGTGCACTCTGAGTCAACAGAAGTAAGGACTTGGCAAAATTTGAGTTGAAGGGAAAGCCAAGTAGCAAAGACTCACTGTGTGGTCAGGACTTTGCATTAATGTTTGAGTCATCTCTATACCCCCTTCTACCTTTAATACATCTGCATTCAATTATTTTTCCTCCAACTCCCTGCATTGAAAAATGAATGACTGTTTTTAAATACTTCTAAGCACATATTTTTAATTTATTTTTTGGACATTTTGTCTGTCCATGCCTCTAGGTTGCTCTCTAAGCAGTATTGGGAAAGTGACTTGAGCCAAAGGTCTCTCAAAAGGACTGTATTTTTCTCCAACAAAAGGGTCAGGCAACCCAACATCTCCAACTATGTTGTCCCTGACTTTCTGTTTCTGATCTTCATCCGTTCTCTATGTGGACTGTGAAATTTAGCTGGGATTCAAGTTTCTCAGCTATCATTAGTAATACATATGCTCCCTTAACAGGGCTGAGGGAGCCATCTGCTTTTTTCTCCTGCTAGTTATAAAATTGTCTCCAGGTGTTCATAAATTACTCTCTCTCTTTAAAATGACTCGCTTAGTTGCTATTTCATCTTGAGCAAGCTATGATGGTATGCTATGTTTTTCTGGG